CCCTGAGCACCGGCACCCTGAGCACCGGCACCCTGAGCGCCCTTTGCACTGGCACCCTGAGCACCCGGCACCCCGAGCACCGGGCACCCTGAGCACCGGCACCCTGAGCACCGGCACCCTGAGCACCCTTTGCACCATCACCCTGAGCACCCGCACCCTGAGCGCCTCTTGCACTGGCACCCTGAGCAGCTCTCCAGGGTGCAAGGTGCTGCCGCAGGGCAGACCCCGGTCCCCTGACAGCCCCCAGTGTCGCAGCTGCTGGGGCAGGGCCTGGTCACGCCCTCTGCCTCCTCGATGACAGTGACAAGGGGGAGCAGTGCCTGTGAGCTATTCACAGGGTCCGGTGCTTCGTGCCAGCCAGATTCCCAGCTCCTGAGTCACGAGTGCAGCACTGCGCTTACCAGAGATGCTGGACGTGTCCTGGGGACTGGAAGCTGGTTGTCTGGCTGCCCCTGACCCCGGGACCTGCCTTCCCGGCAGTTCCTGACAGTGCTGGATTTATGCTCCCAGACCCACCACCTGCCTCTCTCCCCCCAAGGAAACAACATGCCCCCGCCGCTTGGCACCACGTGAGCAGACAGCTGGAGGGTCTCCATGTCAACCACGGCCACCACAGCAAAACACAGGGGCCAGCGCCCTGTGGAGAGAGCACTGGCCTGAGGGCCACACATACATCCTGCCCGCCCTCAGTACCCCCTGAGCTTGGGACCCTGCCAAGGATCCCTGCCTTCTGCTCCTGCTGGCAGCATCACCCTCAGCTGCTGCAGGCCCAGTCTGGGTGCTGGGTGCTGCAGGGCCGTCCCCAGGTTGTGCCATGGGTGCCTCAATACGCCCGGAGCTTTTTATGCAGCGGGTGCTTGCTTTGGATGTGCCTCTACAGCCATTGGCTGCCCAAGGCCAGGGGTGCCCAAAGCAACTGGGTCCCCAGCACTGGTGGCTGCCCAGAGCATGCAGATGCTGGCAGTGGTGGGTGCCTGGAGCAGGGATTCCCAGAGCCGGGGCGCTGGGGTGCAGGATGAGCAGCCCGTGCCCACACCCTGTGTGTGGCGAGCAAAGGGCAGCGCCTTGGCATGCCACAGCTATTCTGGGAGCTGCGGGGCTTCCAGAAAAAGCTCCTGCGGGCTATTTCCGGGTGATCTCCGACTCTGCCCTGGCGGGATGCCGGGGGCTGCGCAGCACCTGCTGCGGGCGCCCCCCATCCTGACACTGTGCTCCGCTCCTGCCTGGCCTGGGAATGTGTTGCTCCTGCCCCCTGACACCCACCCCCAGGGCTGGCTCCCCTCAGGGTGTTCGGGCCCCATCAGCTGGGCTCGCAGGAGCAGGGTGCCGTGCCCTGTCCTACCGCAGGGTTGGCACTGTGCAACCCCCGTGCCAGGGCATTGTCCCCAGAGAGCGGCTGCGCAGGGCACTGGCAGCTGGAGCTGAGCCCCGCTGGAAGGAGTTAAGGGCTGAGCCCTCCTAGGACAGTGTCTGTAAACAGAGCTGGTGCTCAGGAAGTGCCGCCCCCTTCTCCTGCCGGGATGTGCTGCGGTGCCGGGCAGCCCCCCCGCATGGGGCCTTGGCACGGTGACACGGTGATGGCATGGCGGGGAAGGGCCGGGGCTGCAGAGAGCGCGCGCTCCGTGTGGGAGGCACCGAACCCCCACAGCCAGTCACGTGTCTGAGCATGAGAAAATGAAATCACTGCCGGGACATTGCTGGAGGCTGAGCGCATGGCCCCGATGCCTTACATGAGCCACCAGCGATGCGGCGGCGGGGCTGCTAACTGCTACCTCATCTCTCTGGCATGGGTGATGCCATCAAGGCTTGGGTGACGTCAGACAGACACCCTCGCATCCCCATGGACCACTAGGGCAGCAGCCCTCCATCCGTGTGGCTGTGAGGGCAACTTGGTACCCCCAGTGTCTCCAAGGGCACAGGAGCAGGTGTACATCCCTATGGACCATGAGGGCAGATGTACTCTGCTCCAGCGTCCCCATAGACTGTGGGGACGGCTGGACAGGACTGATGGTGGCAAGCACATACATATGCGTGAAGCATGGCAATAGCTGGTCTTGCTCAGCATCTAATAGACCGTGAGGCGCAACAGATCATCCCCAGGACCCTCATAGGCCGGGGGCAACCAGACACCATCCAACATCCACAAAGGTCACGGAGGGTTGCCTGACCCTCTGTACTGACAGAGGCCATGGAGGCCACCAGGCACTCCCAGCATCCTTGTGGCACTCGGAGGCAGCTGGTCACTCTCAGCATCCCCATTACCTGGGGGCAGAGGGATGGGGACTGGGGACTGAACCCACAACCAGGGGGTGTGTGTCCCCATGGCCATTTCTGAGCCCTGTGACGGGCCAGAGGCAGCCGTGGTGGGCGGTGGGTGCTGTGGTCTGGAGCAGTGTGTGGGGCTGCTGCCCACGGGCGCGCTGGCTGGGCGGCGCTCCAGGCGGGAAGGAGAACAATCTCCTATTTAGACAATAGCACGCGCCCAGGCGGGCCTGTCAGCGCCGCGGAATGGGCCGCACGGGCCTTCCCTCTTAGGGTAAAGGCGCCTCGGAGGCACATGGCTGTAAAAGGAGTGGGACTGAAGGAGGCGGCCGGGGGCCAGGAAGGAGGGGGATGGACAGACACCCTGGCTGCTTCACTCCCATCCATCCACTCATCTGGGTGCTGGGCCGGGCGAGAGGGTGCCGTGTGCCCGGGCAGGCCTGACCAGCGCAGGCGGCCCGCGGAGCTGTGGCACGGGGAGTGAGGAGCGCCGGGCAGCCTGGCCCCGCACGCCACCCGGCGCCAGGCCCGGAGGAGCCCGCGGCGCGGGAGGCTGCGTCTGGCTCCCTGCGCGGCTTAAATCCTGCGGGAGCAGGGGAGGCAGCGGGGAGGGAGGGCCGGGGAGGAGGGGCGGCTGCGGGATGCAGCTGGTTTCGCTCATGAGGAAGTCGCGACCGGGCTTGTTTGACATTCCAGCTCCCTGCCGGCTTCCCGGCTCCAACCTCCTCCTGAGGCCCCGGAGGAGCTGGGCCCGGGCCAGCGCTGGGGCTGTCAGACCAGCCCGGGGCCCGGTTCCCAGGCCCGGCTGGCCTGGGTCAGCGTGGCCTGGGCCGGAGCCTCTGGGAGGGCCGAGCGGCCGGGTACAGTGCGAGGCAGCTCCCTGCCTGGTCCCAGCGTCACCCCATGCTGCCTTGGCGATGTCCCCTTGTCCCTGCGCTGCCCTGTCCCTTTCTGCAGCTTGGAGCAGGTCCCTGGTGTGGACTCCATAGGGAAGGTCTCCGGGATGGGACCACATGGGGCAGGGTCTTTGTCATGGGACAGCACGAGGCCAAGTCCTTTCCCCTCATGTTTCCTGTACTTAGGGATCCTGCAGGGAGATGGGGATTTCCTAAGAGCCTGTGGAAAGGCCAGCATGTCCGATCACACTCCCTGCACAGCCCAGGGTGGGAAGGGCAGCTGAGGAAAAGCCACTTGAGAAAGTTTGGCTCAAGCAGGGTGAGGGAAATGTGCCTCTTTTAACCCATTGATGCCAAATCCGCTGCCAGCGTCACAGCCCAAAGGCGCGTTTCCCTCCCGGAGGCACCCCAAGGCCCCCTTCTCCCTGCCCCACAGCTCCACAGCCCCCCAGGCCCTCCCTGCTGCTCGCTCCCTGTGAGCCACCAGCAGGTCCCACGAGTGCCCGCAGGCACAGGGTTATGGGGAGCCCTGTCCTGATGCCCTGGGGAGTTGGACAGGCTGCTATGTCCTTCCCCACCACCCGCCGGGCCTGGATGGGGTGAGGACTCTCAGCTGTGGAGTCTGGCAGTGCTGAGACCCCAGGCAGGGTGCTCAGTGCTGCCGGATGCCCTGCCCTGCCCTACATCCTATCCTGCTCCCCAGTGAGCGGGGTGGTGGGATGGGGTCATGATGGTGGTGGGGTGGTGGGCCCTGGGGTGCTCTGGGTCCATAGGTCACCCCACATAACATGGGACCCCGCTATCACTGGGGATGTGCCTGACCCCAGGGCCTGAAGTGCATCCCTGTCTGTGTCAGAGCTGGCATGGAGGCTGGTGACGCAGGAGGGCAGCCGGCTTGGGGATGCGCAGGACGCGCTCGGAGCAGGGCCAGAGGATGGAAGGATGCTGTATATTTTTCCATCTTCTCTCCCCCATCCCCCAAGTATC